AGAATACTGAATATACCATGGACTGCCAGAAGAACGAACAAATTTGTCTTGGAAGAAGTACAGCCAGAATGCTCCTTAGAAGTAAAGATGGCAAGACTTCATCTCACGTATTTTGGACATGTTATCAGGAGGGACCAGTTTCTGGAGAAGGACATCATGCTTGGTAAAGTAGATGGTCAGTGAAAAAGAGGAAGACCCCTAATGAGATGGACTGACACAGTGACTGCAACAATAGGCTCAAGCATAACAACAATTGTGAGGATGGCACAGGTTGGGCCAGTGTTTTGTTCTGTTGTACATGGGGTCACTATGAGTTGGAATCAGCTTGACAGCACCTAGCAACAACAATAGTTTCTCATGGCTCTATGGATACTTGTCCCATAACATGCTCTGTACTTCCCGTCTAATTGGTGGTGATGGTACTACTGTTAATAAATGATGATGATGATAATGATAGCTACAACCATGGAGCATTATGTACCAGGCATTGTGCTACATGTTTATATACTTTGTAACTCATTTAATCTTCACAACAATCTATGTTGGATAATACGATCCTTTATTTTATAGATGAAGAAACTGAGGCTCAGAGAACTTAAGTAATATACCCACAGTCAGGCAGCCAGTAAGTAGCAGAGCTGGAACTTGAACCTAGGTTTATTTAATTCCAAAGTCTCCATGCTATAGTGTCACTAATGTGCTCTTAGGGTCAGCAAAAAGAGGAAGACCTCAACGAGATAGACTGACACAGTGGCTGCAACAATGGGCTCAAGCATAGCAACGATTTTAGGATGGCGCAGGACCGGGCAGTGTTTCGTTCCGTAGTACATAGGGTCGCTATGAGTTGGAACGAGCTCGACAGCACCTAACAACAACAATGTGCTCTTTGCTTAAATATCAGATACTCAATCTAATCAGAACTGTGTAAAATAAAAACAAATAAGCCCTGAGATTTGCAGTTAAACATGGTAGATTAAACACATATCTTTCAGGAGATTCCTCAGAAAAAACCAACTCAAATTATCATAAAGGAATTAAAAAAAAAAAAAACTGAAGATATAAACTCACAAGGAAAAAGAGAATGCGAAATGGTCAACAATTACTTAAAAACAAAGATGAGAAGGTAAGGGGGCAGGAAAACTAGATTACTGGAAACGGAACAACCAGAACAGAAATAATGAGAATGTTCACCCATTGTGAAGACTGTAACCAATGTCACTGAACAATTTGAGTAGAAATTGTTGAATGGAAACTTAATCTGCTACACAAACTTTCACCAAAAACACAATAAAATATTATTTTAAAAAAGAGAGAGGGAGAGAAAATGGGAGAAGAGACAACAGTAGATAAGAAGTAAAGCAGAGAAAGCTGAAAGCTAAGCACCTGTAGCTGGAAAGTCAGTAAGACACGAACCCTTTGTGCCACAGTGCTCAGAAAGGCCAGAATTGTAGGCATCAGGTATATTGGAAGCAAAGGTGAAAAGTGCAAATATGCAAAAACAAACAAAAAAGAGTGCAAGTAAACACAGGAGGATGATAATAAGGAGGACCGTCTAAGAAATAGTTATAGCTCCAGATCTGCTCTACCAGCAGACAAATGCAGACAAATTCCTCTCCCCCATTCTAACTGAAGATGTGAAAGAGGTAGAAAGGTTAAAATATGGGGTTCTGCATTATGGTACAGCGTCTGTCAGGTGAAGGTAGAGAAGAGGCACCCATTCTGAAAATGGGGATTGAGTGAAAATCTGCATGGTGAAGACACACCCTCCCCTCAATTCCTTTACTAGCCTCCCAAAATATTGACAGCCAAGCATATAACTCCCAGGTAAGAAGCTGGAAAATTCTCAGGGGAAACTTACTGGCCCAAGTGAAAAGACCCACCCAACTGGCTTCCACCCAATCACCCTCACTAAGATCTACTAATCATCAAGCCGTGCTTGCATATAGAGAGCTTCCAAGTCCCCTTTTAATGCCTCAAGAAAGAACAGCCAAGCATCACCAGACATTTGATGAAAGCCTCTACTGTGAAAGGCTGAGACCAAAAGAAATTAAAAAAAAAAAAAAAAAAAAACTTGAAATATTACAGACTAAAACTCCAAAAAAGAAAAAATTTAAGCATAATTTATGTCCTTGAAAACATAAAGATATCATATTCATGAAGCAAGAATAAAACAAAAAAAAAAACCCTCAAACCCGTTGCCACTGAGTCGATTCTGACTTATAACAACCCCATAGGACAGAGCAGAACTTTCCCACAGGATTTCAAGGGAGCGGCTGGTGGATTCGAATGGCTGACCTTCTGGTTAGCAACTGACCTCTTAACCACTGAGCCACCAGTGCTCCAAAGCAAGAATAAGACGTTATAAAAAGAAATAAAGAATAAGATCAGGCTTTAAGAAATTAAGTATGTGGTTGAATGTATTTAAAAACTAGGTAGAAGATTTATAATATAAAATGAAGAAAAATTTTTGAACGTAGAATAAACACAAAGAAAACAGGAGATAAAAAGTAAAATAAGAGGACTAGTTCAGGAACATCATTCAATTAATAGGAGTTTTAAAAAGAGATTAAAGAATAATCTGTAATGAAAGCAATGAGTTTCCAGAATTATGAAGTTCACTGAGTGCACAGCCCAACAAATGAAGAGATAAACTCTAAGGCACATCATTGTTGAAATTTCAAAATACTGGGGATAAAAAGAAAAAAATCAGGTCACATATAAATGATCAGGAATCCATGTGTCAACACTGAATGCTAAAAGACCATAGAAAAATGCCTTCAAATTTCTGAGGAAACCGTTTCCAATACAGAATTCTATAATCCAGCCAAATTGTGACTAGATGAAACACAGTTTCAGATATGCAAGTGTGGTGCAATTAATTACTTTCTGTGTGGCCTTCTAGCCATAGTCTTGTAACTCCCACCCAGATGACTGTGTGATAGGGTAATTGTGACCTACCGAGGGGATTGATCAGTTTTGCCTTAAAAGAGAGCCAATTCCATAGTAGAGAGGAGGAGCCCACCACCACCAAGAAAGGAGAGACCAGTAGGAGAGACCCAGCAGCAAAGACCCAGCAGCAGGAGACAGTGTGGTGGGCTTCCCTGCCCACGGAGAAAGCCGAATGCCTTTGGGCAGAGACTGAGAGCCAGCGAGAGGTGTGCCTGCAAGCACAGCTGGGGAGAGGATATCTTGATGGAAGAACTGTATCCCTACTGTTCTTGAGCCTGAATTGTAAACTGTTAACTTCCTTAATAAACACCATAATTGTGAGCATGGTCTGTGAGTTCTGTGTGGCCACTGCAATGAATTATCGAACCCAGTAGAGAGTGCTGTGGGAGGGACAGTTGGTGTCGGAATTACTACTGACGGCAAAGAGAGGAGGCGTGTCTGAGCTCCACCTCATAGGAATCAGCCTTGGGCTGTTGATCTTGCTTCTCCTTCCCCCTCGTGGGGTTGGAGGAGGTCAGACACTTCCCACAAGCTGATTTTACAGCAAGATCTCAAAAAGTTTACCTTTCATGAACGCTTTCTCAGGAAACTATTGGAGGGAGTGTTTCAGCAAAACAAGGGAAAATTTCAAGAAAGTGGAAGAAATGAGATCCAGGAAACATGGAAAGAGACAAAAGGAATTCCTAAGATGAAATATAGACTGATAAACATGATAAAGGGTGAAGAAATCGAAGTTGTCGAAGATTTCATTCTACCTGAATCAACAATCAATGCCCATGGAAGCAGCAGTCAAGAAATTAAACAACGTATTGCACTGGGCCAATATGGTATGTAAAAAAAAACTCTAAAATCTTAAAAAGCAACAATGTCACTTTGGCTAAGGTGTGCCTGGTCTTTTCAATCGCCTCATATGCATGCAAAAGCTGAACAATGAAAAAAAAAAGAAGAAGAATTGACACATTTGAATTGTGGTGTTGGCAAAAAATATCGAATATACTATGGACTGCCAGAAGAACAAATCAGTCTTAGAAGAAATACCACCAGAATGCTCCTTAGGGTGAGAATGACAAGTCTTGCTTACCTTGAACACATCATCAGGAAAAACCAAGCACTAGAAAAGAACATCATGTTTGATAAAGCAGAGGGTCAGCGAAAATGAGGGAAACCCTCAATGAGATGGATTAAAACAATACACAGTGGGTTCAAACATAAAAATGTTCATGAGGATGGTGCAGAACCAGGCAATGTTCAGTCCTGTTATACTTTAGTCGTTATGAGTTGGAGCCGACTTAATGGCAACTAACAACAAGATGAAAAAAATGGAAGTTTCAAGATGATGGCTGTGCAGCAGGCCTAGAGAAGACCAGTACAGAACATACTAGAACACAAAAGCACAGGACACCAGGAGGGATGGCTCCAAGGAGAAAAAAAAAAGAATCTACCTTATATGTTCGAGTATTGTTTTTAACATTTTATTGTGCTTTAGGTCAAAGTTTACATAGCAAATTAATTTTCCAATCAATGATTCTTATGCAGATTGTTTCATGATCTTGGTTGCAATCCCTGCAATGTGTCAGCGCTCTCCCCATTTTCTCCCTGGGTTCCCCGTTTCCATTAATCTGGTTTCCCTGTTCCTCCCTGTCTTCTCATCTTTGGTTTTGGGCAACTGTTGCCCTTTTGGTCTTGTACAGTCGATTGTTCTGAGAAGCACCTTCTTCACAGATGTTATTGTTTATTTTACAGCCCCGCCTATTATTTGGCTGAAAGGTGGCCTCCAGGAATGTCTATAGTTTCAAGTTAGAAGGTTGTCTTAGGGCAATAGTGCTGGGGGTGCCTCCAATCTCTTTCAGACCAGTAAATCTGGTCTTTTTTTTTTTAATTTGAATTTTGTTCTACATTTTTTACTTATTCTACCTGAGACCTTCTATTGTGATCTCGGTCAGAGCAGTCTGTAGTGGTAGCAGAACACCATCTAGTTCTGGTCTCAGGTTAGAGGAGGTTGTGGTTCATGTGGGCCATTAGTCCTTTGGACTAATTGCTTCACTGAGTCTTTGGTTTCCCTTGTTCTCCTTTGCTCTAGGTGGGAAAAGACCAACAGTTGCTGCTTAGATGGCTGCTCGCAAACTTATAAGACCCCAGATGCTACTCACCAGGCTAGGATGTAGAACATTATCTTTATTAACTGTGTTTTGCCAATTGACCTAGATGTCCCCCAAGACTATGGTCCTTAGCCTTCATGTCCAGTAGTTCAGTCCCGTATGTTTGACTATTTTGAGAGGAGTTTTACAATTTTGTTGGAGAATTTGGGTATTAATGATAGGCAAGAAGAAAACTAAGCAAATAAAAAAGTAAGACAGTTAATAACAACAGGAAAAATAAAAAGCTATATAAGAAAGGAACAATATTCACACTGCATGGCTCAGCTGTGAATACATCATAGTTATAAACATCAAATAATGATTCAACTAAAATATCTGAAGTATGCAGGAAGGAGAAAGAGAGGGAAGAGGCAATATTTTAAGAGCTCTTCAAATCTTCATCTTCCATTATTGAAGACAATTGATCTAAAACTAGATAGTCAAGAAATGGCAGTATAAGGATTTCATCTAGAGTATGTAGGCAGATACCAGAAGAAAGCTAAAATAGTTGAAATGCATGAAAGTAGTTGCCTCTAGGAAACAGAATTGGGGCAGGGATGGACACAATAAGAAACTACTGCTTTTCATTATAAACCTTGTAGTGACATACACACACACACACACATATATAAAAAATGTAATAATATATATGTATATACAACATAAATATATATATGTTTATTAAAATAGGCTCTGAGAAGACTGCTCACAAATTGCAGGAGCTTTAATTGTTACATGGCCTTCCTGCCATACTAGAGCGTTTCTTGCTTATTACTGGTCCTCAGCCATGCTCATACTATGTGAGCCTATACCTCTATCACTCTCCTTCAAAAGAGCTCTACCGTGGATGTAGGTAGTAGTTGGCTAGCTAAAAACAGTGACTCTTAGTAAGTGTACTTATTAGTCTCCACAAAGGCCTACTGAAGCACTTCATAAATAAGAAACCTCACAAATCCAAAGTGTTAATGTTTGAGTTTTAAAAGAAACGTTAGGCGTTCAATTTAGCAACTCATATTCTCAGGTAACCAAAATACCTAGTAAACAAATACATTTCATACATTTTTAAAGTATATCTTCAGAAATTTAAAGAATGTGTGTGTGTATGTATGACATTCAGAAATCTCAAAACACTGAAAATATAAATCATAATGGATTAGCCTCTGCCGCCATATAAAATAAGGATAGCCTTCAATCTCTTGGCTAGGGGTTCTCAATTCCAGCTACCGTCACAATGATCTGTGGAGTTTTCTTCAAAAACACAGCTGCCTAGGCATCATCCTAAAGATTCTGCTTCATTAGATCTGTGGGAGAGGTTGGGAATCTGTTTTTAATCTCAGAAGAGATTCTGATGTGCAGCCAGGTTAAGAAAACCTGTTCTAGGGTAATATGCCAAAAATCTATAATAAAAATTGGGACTATAGCCATAAACATTCATTTATCATCATAACTTTTTTAACTTACACTGTTGGGAACGATGCTATTACTGCCTTGTCTGTGAGGGTCCATCATGATTCCTGTATGAATGAGATATGCTCCAAATTAACTTCAATAAAATATAATCAAACTTTTTAGAAGTTATATATATCAAAGTTTATGTTTTCTTAGTAGTTTGCTTAATAGTTGGCTGGAATCCTTTCTAGAAGGACATGTAAAAATATATTTGCTTTTACTTTCCAAGTTTAGCTAAAGATACTTTTAAAGAAAAGCTGAAATATTTATGAAAGCTAATTAAAACTATCTCCGAAAGTAGCATGTCAAATTAAGAAACTGCATCAAATGAACTGCAAAAAAAATTCTATTTTATATATCTATGTGTTCTACTATATCACAATGGTAAGACAGTCAAGTTTCAGAGTTGAAAATCAACGTTATTTCAGTTACCAGGAATGAACCATCAGATCATAAAATTTCTTAACCTAGACCTAATCACAGACTTTTCTGCAGTATATTTTTTAAAAGCACATGAGCATACACACTTTCTTCAGGCATGAAAATTATGTTACCTTGAATATTTGGTGCTGCTGAAGAATCTGATGATGCAGCTTGGTACGGCAAGTCTGTATTCAACTGCAAAAGATAGCCCTCAACTGTAGGCACTTCATCCCACTTGACATGAAAAGAGTTGGTAGTGGCTTTGATCAGTTGTACTTGTGAGGGTGCTGGTGGTTTCTCTAAAGAACAATATCCACATTGTACACTTAAGCTTCAAATTTATCAAGTTTGCCTACATAGTTTGTGGGGACGTGGAACTTTGAAAACATCAGCAACGAATATTTCATCTGTTTACCAAGTGGGGGAAATTTTACTCAGATAAACATAGCTATAATAGGTCAAATGAAAATAGTTTGGGGTTCTGACTCTATTTAATTCCTTATAAAGACAAATCTGTAAACAAAACAATCCAGTTCCAAACTACTTGAGTCATAAGATTCTGGAAAAAGAAAGTTTAATCCTAGAGTTAGAGGGAAAAATCAAGTATTATATAGTTATAGCCACATTATTTTACCTTCTTTAGAAGTTCTAAACTTTTTAATTTTAAGATCCAATTTTTAGCCAATAGCATATATCTTAGAAACACTGCTAATGTCAGCAGAAATGACATGAACACGATATTTTGGAAAAACATAATTTCTCTAAAATATCCTCTTATCAACACGTTATTAAAACAGTACTAAATACTACCAACATTTCCAAAACATAGACTATAAAACAGTCACAGAATCTTAGGGCTGGAAAAAAGAACCTCAGATTATTTATACAATATCCTTTTCCTCTTTTATATCTTTATAGAGTCAAAACCAAATCCACTGCGTCGAGTCGATTCTGACTCATAGTGACCCTACAGGACAGAGCAGAATTGCCCCATAGGGTTTCCAAGAAGCAGCTGGTGGATTCCAACTGCCAACCTTTCAGTTAGCAGTCAATCACTTTAACCATTGTGCCACCGAGGCTCCTAGTGGTCATCGAATTATGGCCCATGAGCCAAATTCAGCCCATGCCTATTTTTGTAAATAAAGTTGTAGTGGAACATAGATATGCTCATTTTTTTTATGTATTGTGTATGGCTGCTTTGAAGCTACAACTGCAGAGTTGAGTAGCTGTAACAGAGACCATAGGGCCTGAAAACCTAAATTACTTACTATCTGGCCCTTTACAGAAAAAAAAAAAAAATTGATGACTGTTTTAAAGGATAATTAAGCCTCATTCCTTTAACTATTCCTATAAGTTCCTCTGTGATTGCATTCATAATCCAGTTTACTTATGTTTCTCAAAGACAACCCACACCTGAACAGAAGCTGGTACAGGACAGGCCCAGGAAGTATACTACCCACATAACAGAAGTTACATAAAAAGAGATCAGAGAAAACAAAGAGGTGTAAATCCATGAAATAAATCAGGAAAATTACCCAAAGCTAAAGTACATGAGTTTCCAGACTGAAAAAGGCCCCGAGTACTCAACACAACGGACTGAAAACAGACACACAATCAGGCACGTTATCGTGAAATTAAAGAACAGTGGAAACAAAGGGAAAATCCTGAAAGCTTCCAGACGGGGAGAAAAGGTCACTTTCAAACGGACCAAAAACCAGAAGTGGTTTGGATTTTGCAATGACAACTCTGGAAGCTTGAATATAATAGAACAATGCGTTAAAAATTCTAAAGAATAATGATTTCCAAGTGAGCATTCTATTTCCATCCAAACTACCAGTTAAGTGGGAAGGCAGATTAAGCACATTTTCAAACAATGTAAGATCTCAAAATAATTGTATCACCTATGCACCCTTTTCCTGGAAAGTATTCCACAAAAAATGAGGAAGTAAACTAAGAAAGGGAAAAAATATGAGAACCAGGAAACAGGGAATCCAACACAGGTGAGAGGCAAAAGATATCCCCCAGGAAGGTGATGAAGAGAGATTCCAAGATAATCCCTGATCTATTTGTAGAGGGTAACCATCCCAGATTGGAGCAGGAGAAATTTCTTCAAGGCAATGAAACTTGGTAGAATATCTGATCCATCTGACCATAATGAGAGAAAATTTAAACAAATGACAGAGAGTATAGATTGAATTAGTGGTAAATATATAGAAATTTAAAACAAACAAAAGTGACTACTAGTATTACTTCATGGCAAATAAAAATTTGTGCAAGGAAGGTATTCACAGTATTCTACGTGGCTTAGCTGTGAATAGTGTTTATATTGTCATAGTGTAAACACTGAATACTCATCTAACAAAATTTTAGTGTAAATATATTGAGAGAATGGAAGATATGGAAGGTGTCTGAGAGAGCAGTGAGGAACAGTGGGAAGAAGAGATAAATCCTTAAATACACTGTAGAAAGTGACATTATGTCTAAACTGAAAAAAAGTTAAAGTAACAATACATGCATCTTATATAGAGTTATGAAAACAAATGCCCAAAGAATCCTTTAACAGAAGTGAAAGCAGATGCTGGTGAGGCAAGGAAAATGGGGGAAGGTGGGAACAAAGGACTGTTATTTTTCATTAAAAGCCATATAGAATTATGTTAATCTTTTAATTGTTATTGAATGCACAAAGTTTAACTAAAAGTGAAAAAAAGCAAGATGAAGAGTCTCTCATCCCCCAAAATACTGATGCTAACTTATCAAGAGATAAGGCCAACTTATAATAGAGGCCACAACTACTTTTAGATGGACACTGGTGTCTAAAACCTTTTATGGAAAGGTTTATGGAAAAACTGGCCATTCAGAGCTAATGATTTGCAACCTTTTTAAGTCCCTGATCCCTTAGAGAATCTGCTTACAGTGATGGATTCTCTACTGAGCAAAATTCACATGCACACATTTTTTCATCCAATTTCAAAGACCAAAGTCCATCACTGGACCTTGGTTAATCATGCGTGATTTCAAAGATAAATCAGTAAGTTGGATTTTCTATATTTCTTTCCTGCTTGCTTCTCCCACAGAAAACATTAAGTCTCTAACTTAATTGTTCCATTTATTAATTTTTCAATTATCTTAATTTTAAAATTAAACTGTTTTTATATTATAAAAGTATATTACTGTAAAAAATATGGGTAAGAGAAAAACCTTAAAGAAAATGAGCAATCCTACCTTTCAGATAATACTTTGGTGTGTATCCCTTCAGATATTTCTATTTATACATTAAAAAAAAAAAAAAACTGGAGTCATAGTGCATCTTTTGTAGCCATAGTATATGCTATGGAGTCTATTCATTTTGCATGCTTTTCTCCTATAACAACATATATTATATTTCCAGATCTGATTTCTCTATGGGCCTTTAGACTTGTTTACTCATTCAACTGTCTATTTCACATCCTTATTACATCCTTAGCATGGACAAAATGGAACTCTTAATTTTTTCCACAAATTTGTTTTCCCCTCAGCCTTTACCATCTCACTAAATGAAAATACCACCAAATTATTCAAGCTAAAAACTTAGGAGTCATCCTTCATGCCACTCTGTCACCTGCCACACCTAATTCATCAGTCAGTTCTGTCAGCAAGAATTCCAAAATACACTCTGAATTTTTCCATTTCTCTCCATCTCCATTGTCCTGCTATAGTCTAAGACATTGCTCTGACTACTGCAAAAGCCACCTACCTTGTTTCCTGCTTGCACTTTTGCCCCTTTACAATTTATTTTCCACACAACTCCCAACGAGCATTCCAAAATGAACATTAGATCACGTCACATCTCTCCTTTAAACTTATAACATAACTTACCAGTGTACTGTAAATACAATTTAAACTCTACCATGACCTTCTAGGCCCTACACGATTTGTCCTGTGGTCACTCTCTAATCTCCCTTCTCACGCTCTCCTCTTTGTTCACTCAGTTCAAATCATTCCCAAACATGCCAAGTATTCCTATCTCAGGGCCCTTGTACTTGCTGTTCACTGTACCTGCAGTGTTCTTTCCCAGCTTTTTACATAGGTAGCGCCTTCTCACCACTTGGATCACTACTCAAATACCATCTCATCATGGAGGCCTCTTCTGATCACCCACTCTGAAGTAGCCACCCTACCCCATTCCCAGCAGCTCCTATCACTATCTTATGGTTAGTTTTATTGTCTTACCAGGAACTGATATTATTTTGTTAATTTGTTTGATTAGTGCCTATCATCATCCCTGCCCTCACATCCCCTAGAACTTAAGTTCTTTGATAACAGGAACATTCTTAGTCTCGTTCACTACTGTATTCTCAGCATTTAGAACAATTCCAGGTATACAGTTGTCAATCAATCAGTATTTATTGAAAAATGGATGCGAGTTCCATTTTTTAAAAAAATTAGTGTTCTATTACTTTCTTTAAAACTTTTTATTTTGGAATAATTTTAGACTTAGAGAAAAGTTACGAAGATAGTACAGAGTTCCCACATACCCTTTACCAAGCTTCCCTTCATGTTAACATCTTACGTAACCATAATACATTTGTCAAAACTAAGAAATTATCGTTGGTGAAACTATTAACTAAACTACAGACTACTCAAGTTTCATCAGTTTTTCAATTAATGACCTTTTTTGTTCCAGGATCCAATCCAGGATACTACACTGCATTTAGTTGTCATTTTTCTTTAGTCTCCTCCAATTTGTAGCTATTTTTCACTCTTTGTTATTCATGACCTTGAAATATTTGGAGTATTGTTCATATATCCTGCACAATGTTTCTCAATATGGGTCTGTCTGATATTTTCTCATGGTTAGGCTGTGATTACAGATGTTTGGGAAAAATACCACAGAGGTAAAGTGCCTTCACACTGCATGATATCTAGGGGTAAATGATACTAACATGACGTTATCACTAGTGATGTTAGCCTTGATCACTTTATTAAGGTGGTGTTTCCTAGGTTTCTTCACTTTAAGTCACTATTTTCCCCCTTTCCATACTCTATTCTTTGGAAGCAAGTCACTAAAGCGGAGGAGAATCAAGTTCCACTCTTGGAGGGGGTAGTATCTGCATATATTATTTGTCCCATTCATTTTTAATTATGGAAAATAGAGGTGATGGCATTTACAGTAAATCTCAAAAGAGAGACATTATTTGAGTATTTATTTACCTAAAGGACAAATTTTATTTGTTAAATAAGTACTCTTACCTACCAGTATCAAGATACCAAAGATCCTTACAGCAAACTTGACTATTCAATGCTTTTTTGTAGCCATCTCTTCCACTCCAAAAATATAATCGAGTGCCAATTGCAACAGCACAGTGTCCAGCTCTTGGTCTTGGTCTTGAATTTTTCTTATCTTCCAGAGAATCTGATACTAGGGTAGTCCACTCTGCTGTATCTAAAAATACAGAAATATCCAAGACTAATCTATTGTTCTTAAACAACAAAATGATGAAAATTCTTCTATTAAGAAATTTTATTTTAATAAGTAACTCTTAAAAGGCTCACCTAGATTTAGGTAAGAAAATGAACTAGTACATCTCCATTCACAATCATGAGGTGAAGTCTCAATATTTTCCCCCTTATGTGGAACCCATCCACCAAAAATGTACATCCTGAACAACGACAAAAAAAAAAAAAAAAAAAAAAAACAAGAACATAAAGTAGCTAACTTTTTTTATTTTTACTTTCTGGATTTGAAATGCTAAAAAGAATGGACTTAAATTGCTTATTTGTTGACTCAAAGCTTCAGGATTATTAACGCATTTGTCACTGTCAAGGCAATGGGAATAAGATGATGAATAAAACAATGTCTGCCTTCCAGAGTTCACAATTTTATGAAGCAGTACAACATCATAGTTATCTCTCTCTGACAAGATATTTAAAATGTGGAATATTTCGATTACAGAACATTTATAAATCAATATTGTCTATAATATACTAAGGGTATCAGAAAGATGCCCAAATGATCTATGACATCCAAAGTCAAATTTCAAATTGTATGCATACAGTAACCAAAGAGGATTAAGTTTCATATAACTTTGCTATCACTCAAATAAAAAATTTTAAACTATCTTCCTCAGGGCCCTAGGGGTTCTCGAGACACACTTAATGGCTACTGAAGGAAAATGACTCATTAGGCAGGGCTCTGGGCCCGTGAGACCTCTTGCCAACCAGAGAAGCTTTATTTTTATCTATTTTATATATTAGGGTTCCAATGGAAAATTGCATTTTATAAAAGGGTTATGCTAATAAAAAATGTATGACATTGTGTTTAAGCATAAAGACTATTTGGTTTTGAGGCTATTTTAAAAAAAGAACTAATGAGGTTCTAAGATACAGCTAGTAGTTTCCTAAAACATTATTTTTAAGGTTAAATCCCTACACTAGTAAACACCTCAGTAAGTGCCACTTAGACAGTACTCCTAATCCCAGCCCAGTGTTATATAAATAAGAGAACTTGTTGATGGTAGTAATACCTAACATTTATGGGGTGCTCTTTATGTCCCAGGTACTATTCTAAGCATTATATACGTATTAATCCATTTAATTCTCACGACAACCTTGTGAAGTAGGTTGTATTATCTTTCTTATTTTATACTTGCAGAAAATGAGGTACAGACAGATTACGTTTCCTTGCCAAAGCTCATATAGGACCAGCACAGAGATGACACTTGAATTTGGGCAATCTGGTTACAGAGTTTGTATTCTTTTTTTTTTTTTTTAATTATTTTTATTTTTTCCCATACAAAAATTTATACATAGATTGTTATGTGACCCTAATTGCTCTCCCCATACTGTAACAGCACACTCCTCCTTTCCACCCCTGATTCCCCATGTCCATTCAACCAGCTCCTAACCCTCTCTGCTTCCCATCTCACCTCCGGACAGAAGCTGCCCAATTAGTCTCTTGTATCTGCTTGAGTTAAGAGGCACACTCCTCATGAGTATCACTTTATATACCACAGTCCAGTCCAATCCCTGTTTGAAGAGTTCGCCTTGGAAATTGTTTTAGTTCTGGGCTGATAGAGAATCCAGGGGCCATGCTTTCCAGGGTTCCTCCAGTCTCAGTCAGACCATTAAGTCTGGTCTTTTTACTAGAATTTGAGTTCTACACCCCACCTTTCTCCTGCTCCATCCGGGACTCTCTGTTGTGTTCCCTGTTAGGGTGGTCATTGGTGGTAGCCGGGCACCATCTAGTTCTGGTCTCAGGCTGATGAAGTCTCTGGTTTATGTGGTCCTTTCTGTCTCTTGGGCTAATACTTTCCCTTGCGTCTTTGTTGTTCTTTGTTCTCCTTTACTCCAGGTGGTTGGGACCAACCGCTTGCAAGCTTTTAAGAGCCCAGATGCCACTCACCAAAGTAGGATGGAGAACATTTTCTTAATAAGCTTTGTTATGCCAATTGACCTAGATGTCCCCTGAAAGCATGGTCCCCAGACCCTACCCCTGCTACTCTGTCCCTCAAAGTGTTTCATTGTATTCAGGAAACTTCTCAGCTTTGGTTTAGTCCAGTTGTGCTAACTTCCCCTGTAATGTGTGCTGTCCTTCCCTTCACCTAAGATAATTCTTATCTACTATCTAGTTAGTAAATAACCCTCATCCTCCTTCCCCACCCTCATAACCATCAAAGAATGTTTTCTTCTGTGTTTAAACCTTTTCTGGAGTTCTTATAATACTGGTCTTATACAATATTTGTCCTTCTGTGACTGACTAAACACTCAGCATAATGACCTCCAGAATTTGTATTCTAACCCTAGCTCTATACTACCATCCAAAGAATAATCATTGAGAGTATGTGCTGAGTACAAATTAAGCACTATCAAAAACATGTACAAAGAAACAGTGAGTTAGGTGTGTCAAGCTTTTCAAGAAGACAGATCAGTCTGACTACACTGTGCCTTACCCTATGTAATATCCACTCTGTGCAAGCACTGCAAGGAATGCAAAGAAGTATAAGAGGCAGCATGATAAGAAAATGGCACATTAAGTATTTTAGCTTCCGTGGGAACATTATTTTAGCTTCAGTAAGCACAATCAAACATTGCTAAGTTCAGTAACCCATTTCCAAGAAACTAGAAGCATCTCTTTTCTTGGTGTGTATCTTTCTTAAGATGGTTAAAAAACAAAAAAAACATACTTGTTTCCTATAACATTGGCTGTGTGAAGGCTTCGTGGAAGTGGCACTGTCCCTTTAGCCTCTGGTTTTGACCATGCCATAGTTTCTAAAAGTAAAAACAAGTATATTAGCAACTTGATCTAATAACAGCAAATGATTTCAATTTACAGTTTAAAAAAAAAAGAGAACTACCAAAATGAAGCAAAAATGTTTCAAGACAGTTATCTGAATTTCATGTTAAAATAAACATTTACAGCTGACCTAAGTTGCCAATCACAGAAATCTATTTATACTTGAATGTTAATATTTATAATGAAGGTATCCTCAGGGTGCCACCAATTATAAATTAAGTTTAAGGATTTTAACACTTTAAATAAGAGTACTATTGTATACTCTTAGCATCCCAATCACTCCTTCTTAGTATCTCAGAAATAGTTACCCAGGGGCTTTTTACTGACCAGCATACAACATTACTAATGCTACCTTTCTTGTAAGTACAGTAACCATATAATTTATCATCCCCAATTGGGACACTTTTCAGAGTGAAAGGGGGTATTCTTGATAATTGCATGGGACAATAAGCATAAATGAGGATCATCCCAGCAAACCAAGATATACGTACCCTACCTTCAGGGAGCACAGCAGAGTTACTAGCATAAATCTAACATTAGTTTGTTCAACCTGACTGATCAGCAACCATTCACCTCATACCTTAGCTGCCCCTGAGGCTACAAGCGCTGGTTATAAAGTGAGGGCAACTCAATAAATAATGCAATCAAAAATATTTTTCAAAGCATTTTTATTTGCCTTTATTAATCATAAGCTGCTTGACTAGTAGCTGAAAGGTTGGCAGTCTGAAACCCAGAGGCTCTTCAGAAGACAGGCCTGGCGATGTGCTTCCGAAATGTGACAGCCTTGAAAAAACCCTATGGAACAGTTCTACTTTGCACACGTGGGATCAACAGGAGTCGTAATCGACTCGACGGCAACTAACAGCAACAAAAACAACAACAATCATAATCAATTCCTGAGTCTGAATCAAGTTAAGCTTACCTAACTCAAGTTGCCATAGGTCATCCAGGCGAGCACCACACATTCCCCCAAAAACATACATTTTAGGACTTCCAGAATCTTTTTTGCAATATATAACGGCTGTGTGGGATTCTCTTGGAGAAGGCACAATCCCTTTAGTCACTGGAATACTCCAACCCACAACACCAGACCCATGTTGTAGTTCCAACTCATAGAAATCATTTAAGTATCTAGAATATTATGAAAGAAATTAAAACATTATAATATATATCTTTTATCTGCTTTAATTTTTGTTTCTATTTATAAAGATAATACATGCTTTCTGTGAAGAACTCATAGAGTACAAACAAGGCATAGTGAGAGCAGAAAACCCACGCCTCACTCATTCGACACATATTTATCAACCACTACTGTATACTAGGTCAGCGAAAAAGAGGAAGACCCTCAATGAGATGCCTGACACAGTGGCTGCAACAACGGGCTCAAGCATAACAATGATTCTGAGCATGGCGCAGGACCAGGCAGTGTTTTGTTCTGTGGTACACAGGGTCGCTGTGAGTCGGACCGACTTGACAGCATCTAACAACAACAACACTGTGTACTAGGTACTCTTCTAAGCACTGGGAACCAGTAGTGAACAAAAAAGAGAAAAAATCCCTGCCATCATTTACCAATACTCTTGTCGATGATACTGTGGTGGCTTTAAAGTATAGCTGCAAATTTTCTGACACTCTTCCCATCAGGAGGTGTGGTCTATGTCTCTTCCCCTTGAATCTAGGCAGGCTTGTGACTACTTCAATCAATACAGTATGGCGAAATGACACTGTGACTCCTGAAGCTAGGTCATAGAAGGCCAATGCAGCTTCACTACAACACTCGATCTTGGCACCAAGAACCACCATGTAAGAAGTCCAAATACTACAAAATCATTGATCTGGAGAGGCCACATGCAAACATGCAGGGTGACAGTCTCAATTAAGTCTGTCTCTCAGCCATCTCAGCTGAGGCACCAGACATGGGAGTGACTATTCAAGGCTTCCCATCTGTGTCCTGTCTGAATTCCTGACCCACAGAATCTATGAACATAATAAAATGGTTGTTGTTTTACATAATTAAATTTTGGACAGTTTGTTACATGACAATAGTTAACCAGAATAATCACTACTGATGACATTCTGGTAAGCATCCTTTCAGACTTCTCTCTCTATGGCTATCCGTATATAAATAAACGAAACCACAGCACAAGTACTACTTTGCAACTTTTTTTTTTTTTTTAATTTCACTTTATAGCAACATCCTATATAGCGTTTTTTACTTTAGAAACTGGGATTAAATTTGTCACCTATGACATGGATGTTTTCAAAGTTTTGAGCAAAATGACTTTTATAAGAGTTTATTTCTTGCCAAATTATTCTCCACGTTTAAGTGCAAAATTAAAACATTTTAGGACATATAAAACCTCATAGTTTAGCCATATAATCGTTCTGGGCAGAAATGATTCTAGGATGTCATCCAGGAAAAAGAAGAAGTCCCAGAAAGAATACAATGGATAAGAGAAATGGTAGTGCAAAGAAACCAGAAATTTATAGTTACATTAAATTAATGTTGATAAATGTGGTTGTGAAGTCTAAGCAATCACTAAGAAAGACTTATAAAAACTTAATTTCTTAACATTATTATAATATAGAATAAAACTCAAGAGTATATGGCTCATATTCTCGTAAAAAGACCAGACTTAATGGTTTGACTGAGACTGGAGGGACCTCAGAAGACATGGCCCCCAGACTCTCTGTTAGCCCAAAATTAAAACCATTCCCAAAGCCAGCTCTTCAGACAAAGATTAGACTGGACTATGGGACATAAAACAGTAGTTGTAAAAGAGTGTGCTTCTTAGCTCAAGCAGATACATGACACTAAGTGGGCAGCTCCTGTCTAGGCAAGATGAGAAGGCAGAGAGGGTCAGGAGCTAGCTGAATGGACACAGGAAATCTGAGGTATAAAGGAGGAGTGTACTGTCACAGTATAGGGAGAGCAACTAGGGTCACATAACAATGTGTGTATAAATTTTTGTATGAGAATTTAAATTGAATTGTAAACTTTCACTTAAAGCACAATTAAAAAAAAATATGGAACATACAGAATAAGAGGGTAGGCAAAAGAATACTAAATAACAGTAATTTATTCTCAAGGATGACAAGCCATTTTAAATATGTTAATTTCTGAACAAGAATTAGCACATATAACTTTCAAAGAACTAGAGGGAAAGAGTCAAAGAAAAATAATACATCAAGAAAAAGTAAGGAAAAGAAAAAATAAGCAAAGAATAGAAAATGGAAAGCAGTTAATAAGATGGTCTAAAAACAAAACAAAACAAAAAAGGACAAATTATATATTTTAAAAAAACCTGGTGCACATCACAGAAAAAGATCAAATTTCCTTAATATAAAGAACTCCTACAAAATCAGTAAGATAATGATCAACCACACAATAGCCATAGGTAAAAGGATGTAAACTGACAGTTGACAAAACAGGAAATAAAAACTATATATATGTGTATATTTACAAACACATATAAACACACACACACACTTTAGAAAATGTTCAACCTCATTACAACTTTTAATAATCTAGCAAACACAGGAAAAGAGGGAAAAAGCAGCAACAAAGCAGAGTAGGTGGAAAACATAAAATATGAGGGCAGGAAAAACTTTCCTATTATAAGACAAAGTCTTTGAAGTGGGAGGAGGCAAGGGAAATGAAATAAAAGAACCCTGAATTCAGTAATAAGCTACTAAAAGCAAAGATGATATTAAAACTATTTAACAAGTGACACGGCATAGGCTTAAATTAGAATGGACACCAACCAGAATACTATACCAGTTCATACTGGCTAATTGTTAGTACTATTTCCAAAAGATAAGTCTACAACAAAATGATGCACACAAGTTGACAATAAAGGACTGGACAAATGTATCAGGAATGTGAGAACAAAAATAAAGTAGGGGTAGCAAAAAGCAACCTTTATCTAAATAATATGCCATCAAAATATATGAAACAAAATTATTCGATATATAAGAATAAAACACAAACCCAAAGATTTTAACATTTTTAACAGAAACTGATATCACCTAGACCCACAAAATAAATAAGCATTTTAATAATAATTTAAAACATTGATTTAATGTATAAATAACCTTGTATCCAAATAATCAAGAACCCAAGTCTCTAAGAACACCTATGGAATAATCACAAAAATTAACCGTGAAGTAAACCACAAAGACAAACTCCAAAAAGGAGAAACTTCTTAGACTGTATTTTCTGACCACAATATAATAAAACTAGATATGAACAACAACAACATTTTCCACTTGAGAATTAAAAAAAAAAAAAGGTACCAAATTACTTTTGGATTAAAGAAGAAATAGAAACTAACAACAATAAGAGCACTATATATCAAAATCTACGGGATCAGCCAAACAGTACCCAAAGGAAAATGTGTAGCCTTTATTAGGAAACAACAGAAAATAAATGAACTAATAAGCATTCAAATCAACAACTTAGAAGAAGAGAAAATAATAAAGAAATGGAATAGAGATAAAGAAAGTAAATGAAAAAGAAAAATAGTCAATAAAACTAAAAAATGGCTTTTTGAAAACACCAATAAAATAACAAATCACTAGCAAGTCTGATTAGAATAATGGACAGATAACACAAACATCTGAAATGGAAAAAGAGACACAACTATTTGGAGTAAATAAAACAAAATATATAAAGAACACTTAAGGATCAGTAATAAAAACTGAAATCCATGAAAAAGCAATTAAAACAAATAAATTCAGCAAGGTTGCAGGATAAAAGATCCGTATAAAAAAACCTGCATTTCTATATAGCAGCAATAAACAATCCAAAAATGAAATAAAGAAACCAATTTCATTCACTATGGCATCAAAAAGAACAAAATATTTAGAAATAAATTTAACAAAAAAGAGTGAGACTTGTACACTGAAAACTACAAAACATTGCTAAGAGAAATTAAAGAAGATCTAAATAAGTGAGAGGCATTCTATTAAAATGGCACTTTTTCCAAATTGATCTATAGATTCAACACAATCCCTATCAAAATCCCAGCAGGCATTTTTTGCAAAAATTGGCAAGCTGATCCTAAAATTTACATATAAATGCAAAGAATTCGGAAAAGCCAAAACACTCTTGAAAAAGAACAAAGTTTGACAACTTACACTTTCCTATGTCAAAACTTACTGTAAAGCTACAGTTATCAAGACAATGTGGTATTGGCATAAGGATAAACATACAGATCAGTGGAACTGAAACTGAGAGTCCAGATAAAAATCTTTATGTTTATGGTCAACTGATTTTTGACAAAGATGCTAAAGCAATTCAATGGAGAAAGGATAGCCTTTTCAACAAATGGTGTTGGAACAACTGGATATTCACATATAAAAAGGTGAATTTAGACCCTTACTTTACCTAATATATAAAAATGAACTCAAAATGAGTCATAGACCTAAATATAAGAGGTAAAACTATAAAATTTTTAGGAGAAAATCTTCATAATCTTGTGTTAAGCAGAGTTCTTAAATATGACACTAAAAGTATGAGCCATAAAAGAAAATTTTGATCAACTGGACTTCACCAAAATTAGAACTTTTACACTTCAAAAGACACATTAATATCAGGCTCTGAGGGAGGGGGTATCGGGAATTATTGCTTAATGAGTATAGAGTTTCTGTCTGGAGTTTTGAAAATAAACAGTGGTGACAGTTGTGCACGTACACACACACACCACCACCACCACCACCACCATTAAAAAAATGAAAAGACAAGCCACAGAATGGGAGAAAATGTTTGCAAATTACAAGCCTAATTTAAAAAAAAACAAAAAATTATATCTAGAATACATAAAAAAATCTTATAACTCAATAACAAGAATACAAACAACCTAATCAAAAAATTTGCAAAGGTCTTGAATAGACATTTCAGCAAAGAAGATATATAAAATGGCTAATAAGCACACAAAAAAATGCTCACCATCATTAGTCATTAGGAAAATGCAAATTGAAACCACAATGAGATACGTTTCACACCCACTAGAATGGCTATAATCAAAAAGACAGAAAATAACGAGTGTGAGGAAGAACTGTATGATTTTAATTTCTTTCACGTTTTATAATTGTGTAATTTAAAAACGTGCTTGTTTTTTTAAATGGAAAACTGAAGAGACATGCTAAAAGCTTAAGTATCTAGCGTAGTGTGGTAGAATAATTTTTTTTTCCTTTTCTCTATATTCCAAATTTTTCACGATGTTTCAATATATTTATTATTTTAAAAGTTCGGGGTGGGGGAAACTAAAGACCCTACCATCAATCTAATACAGGTAAAAAGACACATACTGTGGATAACAACTACGTATCATACACATGCTAGAGTGCAGCTTGAAAGTGCTCTGAAAATTTGACCAATGATCTTATTCAACCATCACAATGACAATGCAAATTGGGTATTTTTATCACTTCCATTTTATGATGATGGAAAACTTAGATTACCAGGCTTAGATGACTTGCTCTAAAGAATGCGTGTGGTAAGCAGTGAAGCCAGGATCAGAAAACAGCCTTTTAGGGTCTAAATCTCCAAATCCTGAGTGCTATAATGACCATGTGATCAAAACACTATGGGGGTGGGGAGGGCAGAAGAGGCAGTGATTAATTGTTTAGAAAAAGAAGGAGATGATTTGTTCTAAAAGTATTTGCTAGTGTGAACCATTTTAACAGCTTCCTGTATGAAAAACGAAAATGATGGCCTTCACTTTATAGTCAGATTTTTGTCACCAAATTCCCAGAGAAACCTAATTATAAAACAGCCATCTATAATTTTCATTATCATTTATGACTTAGCTAAAATACATTACAGCTCAATATATGCAAATATATTGATATAAGCCATTATATTAATATCAACTTAATAAGATTATCTGATTAAAAAGGGCATAGGTTTGAAAACTACACACTTCAGGGACTAAGCAAAACATACGAGGCCAGATTTATCCACTGTTTAGGTTTAAATGCAAAAAGCTAAGATTCATCCCTTTTAATAGTTAGAGATAGAAGAAATCTAATGTTCCTAATTTAAATCATAAAGTAAGCAGTTGGTCTGAAAAAAAGTCAGCATACCTGGGAACATTATTGTTTGAATCTTCACTTTCATTTGCCAGGCCACCAAACAAATAACATTTGTTACCATATAAAGAAAAGCTATGTCCAAGCCGAGGACAAGGAGGTAAACCAGAAGAAGGGGGCTGGGGTCTCACTTTCTTCCATAACCAACGACTTGCCTAAAAAAGAGCATAAATACACTAAGATAAAATCAGGATAATACTCTTATACTGTCAAGAGTGCAACATCAGAACCCCACCCCGCAAAAAACCCACTGCTGTCAAGTCGATTCTGATTCATACAGACCCTATATTGCAGAGTAGAACTGCTCCATAGCGTTTCCAAGGCTGTAAATCTTTACGGAAGCTGACTGGGCTCCTTAACATCAGACCAAATACATTTTAATCCAAATTCCATCAGAAGGCTCTAATAAGTTATTTTTGGGACAAATGACAAGTAAGCTAACTTCTGGAATTAAAACAAATGTTCCAATAGAAATTCAGTCTAGTCTTTCATATTCACAGATTTCCACAATGGCAAATTACAGTTCTAAAGTATTTTCTAAATGAAAAAATAAATATTATATATAACTTTAATTAAACATAATTTATGTATTCCTACTTTCTGAAATTAAGAAATCCATGAATGGTATATATTTTAACCTTTAAATAACCATAAAGCTCATTTAACAAACTAAACTCCAAAACTTATCCTCTGGTCATTGGTATTTGCTTTATCTATTTTTGAAATGGGTTGCCTATAAATAGGTATGATCCACACATGTAGGCCAATTAGCAGATGCCCTCATGATCATGGGCCTGAACACATGCATAGTTCAGGAAGGAAAGTCAACTAGTGCTGTCGAAGAGTCTGGTTTAGTAAGAGTCAAATTTAGAAAAGATATATGAATCTATCTTCTTTTATATGTATTACCAGAGGAAAAAAGTGATTATGGGTGTGAGAGTAACAATTTCTACAACACTAAGGCAGCAGTTCAAAGCATGCACTGGGGACCATCAGCACCAGCTAGGAACTTGTTAGAAATGCAAATATCATGCTTTCACCACAGATCTGAATCAGAAACTCTAGGGGCAAAGCCTGTTTTCACAAATCCTCCAGGAGCTTCTGCCTCAGGCTAAAGTTTGGAACTACTGCACGAAGATACAAAAACCTAAACACATATACAACTGATACTAAAGTAATACATGTCTTAACGTTAGAAATGTTGCACTGGGTATTGAAAAAAGACTTACACTAGAAACTTTCGGCTTTTTAGTGAAGTGGAAACATTTTCTTTGAAACTGTAATATGTGAAGCTCACACTATTTCAAATATGTTAATGAAATATTTTGCAATCTTTTGAAGAGTTATTAAAGCTTCAGACTGAGATAATAAATTTGAAAAACACTTACTTGTAACTCATATAACTCATTGCTGTATCTTCCATATTCAACCATTCCCCCAAATACTAATATTCTGGTACCATCACAGACAAATCCATGGGCAGCGCAGCCTGGAGGGATGTCTCCTCTAACAGCTGGTAGGAACCACTGATTGGTAACTAGTTGCCAAAATAAAATTAAAACCAATTATAATAAACAACAGCTACCACATACTATGTGGTATGTACCTTATATGTATCATCTACATCAGTGGTTCTCAACTGGGAGTAATTTTGCTCCCCAGGGGCCACTTGGCAATGTCAGGAGACTTTTTTGGTTGTCACAACTGGGGCGAGGGGGAGAATAGGGGCAGGAGAGTGCTATTGGCATCTAGTTGGTAGAAGCTGGGTATGCTACTAAACATCTTACAATGCACAGGTAAGCCCCCCACAACAAAGAATTACCTAGCCCAAAATGTCGATAGTGCTGCTGTAGAGAAACTCTGATCTACATCATTTCTCACAAAAATCCTGCTGTGTGGGTATCATTATAAATGAAAAATCTGAGGCTTACAAAGGTTTAGTAACTTTACTTCTGATCCTGCGCAACTGGCAGAACAGGATTCAAACCAGGTCTAAGCCAGGGTTTTTACACTATATCAAACTGTCAAATAACTTTTGAACTTCATATGCTGGGGGGCGGGGAGGAGGAGAGAGCAAAAACTAAAAATCACTCCATTGTTTTTTTCACTTTTAAATGACCGCTATGATTAAGTTGTCTTGTCAAAGAAAAAATTCACGGATGGTTGAAATAAACTCAAAATTCAGTAATTAGCCTTACATCAAAGAGACACGATAGCTGGAGCATTTTTAAGTTGGAAAAATGAAATCCCAACCTCCTTTCTATGCCACAGACGTACTCAATAGCTGGACCTCCACGGGCAGAAGCAGTTGGGATTTGCAGTGGTGCACAAGCTGTGACAGTCCTCCTTTCTGAGGACCAGTCCAGAAGAACGCTGCGCGACTGAGCTTCGGCACACACACCCAACTACCTACCTATCAGAGATAACGCCGGTCTCACCCACGAACCACTTCCCCGCCAGTTTAGAGAGCTACCAATGGGGTAAATCTTGATTGCCACCTGCCAAATAACGGGGCTGTATTTGGGGTGGAAGTACCAGAATGCCTCCTGCTTTCCCTTCTCAGTCCTGAGATTCCTTTCCTCCTAAGGGAGTTTGAAGAAACGCAAAGACAGAAAGGCCCGGAGGAGCTTTGGTTTTCAGTTGGTTTGGTGTTTTGACAGGGGAGGGATCTCGGGGCCCTGGAGGGGGTGAGACTTCGGGGAAAGGCCCAGGCGGATGGAAACTCTCTCTCGCGTACGTCCGCCAGCACGGCCGGGCGGGGAGGAGAGAAGAGCGGGACAGCCTGCCTGAGGGCCGGCGCGGCCAGCTCTGGGTCCGGTACCGCCCCGCTGGCCCCAGAAAACGGAGCTGCCGCCCAGGACACTGCGGGGCCAGAGCCGCCCGGCCGAACCGCGCTCCCTGCCGCCCTTCCGGGAAGGCAGTGACCGCGGTGGCCCCGGGAGCCGGGCAGTGACAGCTGTCAGGGCCGCGGCTGCCGCTTCGCCTCCCCTCCCCCTCCGCGGCTCCACAGCCTCGGCCGAGGAGCCGCTGCCGCGGCCGCGCCTACCGGTGTTGTAGACGTGTAGCTCGTCCGCGATGCCCTCGTTGCCCCCTCCAAAGATGATCATCAGCTCCCGGATGGCCACGGCCCGGTGTCCGTGCCGGGCGCGGGGGACCGGCCCCGTGAAGGAGGAAACCCGCCTCCAGTTCAGGAGGCTGGGAGCCGCCATCTTCCCAACCCCCGCCCCTCTGCCCACAATGCATCGCGCCCGCTCCAGCGCCCCCGCTCCCGGGGGAGGGCGGGGATCCGCCTCCAGCTGTGCAGTGGGAGGGCGTTACGTGACCACAGTTTCCCGGGGCGAGGCTGGGGGCCCGCTACGGGGTGAGGAGACGTGGCCGCGGAAATTTCCCCGAGTTTTCTCCCACCCCACCAGGCGTCGCTGCTGCCCCAGGCGTTCCTGGCAACGAGTTTTAGGGGGAAAGACTTTCTCTACCGACCAAGTTCCCCTCCCCACCAAGAGCCTCGTTTGGTGAAGGTACAGCGTTTTCTTTCTTGGCCACTGTAATTGAGCATCTATGATGTGTCAGGCTGCGCTGGGCTGGTCCCAGGGAAGGACGTGGAACGATGAAACGTGGTGGGTCCCTTTGTAGCGAAGATCAGACCCTTTAAAACAGTTACACCCCAGAAAGCATGGCCCCCGGACTCTCTGTTAACCAAGAACTAAAACAATTCCCGAGGCCAACTCTTCAAAGATTGGACTGGACTGTGGGACATAAAATGATACCCGTGAAGAGTGCGCATCTTAGCTCAAGTAGATACATGAGACTAAATGGGCAGCTTCTGTCCCGAGGTGAGATGAGAAGGCAGAGAGGGTCAGGAGCCGGTTGAATGGACATGGGAAATCAGGGGTGGAAAGGAGGAGTGTGCTGTCGCAGTATGGGGAGAGCAATTAGGGTCACATAACAATGTATGTATAAATTTTTGTATGAGAGACTAACTTGAAATGTAAACTTTCACTTAAACTACAATAAAAAAATTGTTCCAATGGGAACAATTGTATTTTAAATTACAAAATAAATTTCTGTTAATACAAAAAAAAAATTACAACACACCGTGAGGAAAGCTGGAGTAAAGGTGCAAAGTGCTATGAGCGCAGGGAAGAGACCTGTCTTTGCAGAGGGGGTAACGTGCGCGTGCCGAGGGCGCTGGGATGTCGAGGATGCTGGAGAGGGGAGAAGGCATCAGGGCGGTCGGCGCAGGGAACTGCATGATTCCAGAGACTCTGCCTGGAACCACTGTGCAGTGTGTAACCCACATAAGGCCCCTGCCTTGTGTTCAAGGTCCTCAGGTGGCACAAATGGTTAAGAGCTCTACTACCAGGAAGGTTGGCAGTTGAAACCCACCCAGGGGTGGCTTGGAAGACAGGCCTGGCAATCTGCTTCAGGCATGTGGTCGCCATGAGTCGCAAGCAGCTCCATGGCAACTAACAATAACAACAGCCTTCTGTTTTGGTCCCGCACAGAATTCCACTAAAAAAGATAAAAGTCCAACAGAGAGGAAAAAAGAAAACAAAATCCCTACCTCAACTCTCAAGAAGCTACCAAAATATATAGTCATACACAATATAGAGCAAATTTCCTGAAATTATTTTTTCCTCATCTCTTATCATTTTCAGTTTCTCTCATATGTCTAGCTCATCCCCGGTAACTTCCTCAAACCTAAACATGCCTCTTCACCTTCTCACCTACCTAAGCTTTCTTTTGAGAGGTAATTCTTTACCTTTTTAAAGGAATTCTCACTATTCTCTCCAGCTCCTACTTTTCAAGTTCTCCCCCCTCTTTTCAAGTTCACCCCATTACCCCAAACGCATAATAAGGCCAAAGAGAGTTTGAGCAGGGAGGAAGGGTGGCTGGGGAACAAAGGAAAAAGGTTATGAATACTTATGCATTAGTACATTTCCTTGTTACGTACATAACATGGGCTCCCCAAATACTCCTGTTACAAAGTTTTTATGGATCTGCAGCAAAAAATGGAAAAGTTAGGACAAAGCAGTGAGTTTTTTCATAAAGCCAAAAGTATTGAATTTAAAGGACTGCACTTTATCCTGAGAGTTTGGTGTTAAAACATCCTTACTTTTATGAATGATGGTGTAAGTAGATGTAGGTTGCAAATTAAAAAAAAAAAAGATATATGAAAATCTGGAAACCACTTAACTAGGAGAATAGGGAAGGCAAGATAGCCTTAAGACAAAAGAGATTGCAGGTTATAACTGGTGTCTTATGTAAGGAACTGCAGGACGATAGAGGAAGTGCTTAATCAGATGGAAAAGAAGTATTAACCAGAGCAGCTTTGACTCACCTCTGCTTAAGTGAGGAGTCTAGAATAGGTCCCCGATTGTCAAGAAAGCTACCCTCAATCTCTGAAACCATAAGAATGGAAGCAACTACCTGGGAGGAGAGTGTATTGTTCTTAGTTATTGTTAGGTGCCATCAACTCAGTTCTTACTTATAATGACCCATGTACAACTGAACAAAACACTGCCTGGTTCTGCCCCATCCTCACAATCGTTACTATGCTTGAGCCCATTGTTGCAGCCACTGTGTCAATCCATCTCATTGAGGGTCTTCCTCTTTTTTGCTGACCTCTACTTTACCTTTTATTTTTTTTAAATTTTTTTGTTTTACTAAGCATGATGTCCTCTAGGGACCAGTCCCTCCTGATAACATGTCCACAGTACGTGAGACAAAGTCTCATCATTCTCGCTTATAAGGAGCATTCTGGCGTACTTCTTTCAAGACATATTTATTAGTTCTCTTGCAGTCCATGGTGTATTCAATATTCTTTGCCAACACCATTATTCAAAGGCATCAGTTCTTCAGTCTTCCTTATTTATTACAGAGCTTTCGCATGCACGTGAGGCAATTGAAAATACCATGGCTTGAGTCAGGTGCACCTTCGTCCTCAAAGTGACATCTTTGCTTTTTAACACTTTAAGGGGGTCTTTTGCAGCAGATTTTCCCATTGCAATATGTTATTTGATTTCTTGACTGCTGCTTCCGTGGGCATTGTTTGTGGATCCAAGTAAAATGAAATCCTTGACAACTTTAATAAAATGTCCAAAACAAAAAAAACAAACTCTTGCCATGAAGTCAATTCCAACTCATAGCGACCCTATAGAACAGGGTAGAACTGCCCCATAGGGTTTCCAAGGCTGTAAATCTTTATGGAAGCAGACTGCTACATCTTTCTCCCATGGAGCAGCTGGTGGGTTCAAACCGCCGACCTTTCGGTTAGCAGCTGAGCATTTAACCACTGCACCACCAGGCCTCCTCAATAGAGTGTAGAGGGGGGAAGAAAGGAGACTAGTACCCTGAAGAAACCAACATTTAAGAGGTGAAGACAGGAGGATGTGCTCATAAAGGAAATGGAGATTGAACAATCAGGTCAAAAGGGAAGTAGGTGAGAGTGATGTTGAAAGAGCCACAAAAGAATGGGGTTTTATAGAGGCAGAAGTGGTTATCAAAGCCAAAAAGCCATAGAGAGGACAAGTAAGATATGGACTGAGAAGTGTCTACTGGATTTTCAAATTAGGAAGTTATTAGTGGCCTAAGTTAAAATACTTTGAGTGGAGACAGAGGTCGGAAAGCTAGAGTAGGTTGAGGAATGAATAGCAAGTAAGGACATATGGATAACATATAGTCTACTTTTTACAGAGTCTCAGCCATGAAAGGAAAGAAAAAACAGTAGCCAAAGGGGAGAGATGGGTACAGGCTAAGTTGTTGTTTCAGGTGGATTAGACTTGAGTATAATTGTCGGCCCTGAAGAAGAGTCAGTTGAAAGGGGAAGGCTGAAGACCAACATGGAATATGTCATATGGAAATGCTTTCTGCCACAGTAGCAGAATATCAAACACATTGTGGCAGGAAGCAGAAGGACAGCCAGGATGGGGAGAGAGAAGTCTCTTCTTACAGGGAGAAAAAACATCTTGCTCAGAAGTAACCCATCCAACTTCCCCTTGGTTTTCACTAGCCAGACCCAGGTCATTTAGTATATTAAGATTACATTAGCTGCAGTGGCAGAAGTACCAAAATAATACTGACTTCTAAAAAGGTTTCTCTCATGTAAATGAATTTTGGAGGTGTCAGTCCAAAGCTGGTATGACACCTCTGTTTCACCAAGTCATCAGGAACCTAGGCTCCTTCCAGCTCATGATCCAAAATGGCTGCTGCAGCTCTAGCTATCACATCTGCATTCTAGCCAGCAGGAAAGAGTAAAGAAAAGGAATCTTTCCTTCTCCAGAACACATTTCAGAATTACTCACATTACTTCCACTATATTTTGTAGGCCAATATTTTGTCACAAGGACACATCTAGTTGAAAGGAGTTTCAGAAATGTACTCTTTATTTAGAATGGCCATGTGTCCAGGTAATATTCAAATTCTGTTATGAGAAAGACGGGGAGAGCAGACACTGGGAACCATCTTGCAATCTCTGCTACACGTGGGTACAGGAGTCTGGGAAAGTGGTTTCTGTTTGGGGGGAGGTTAGTAATGAGAAGCAGGCAAGGGAGTAGAGGGCTGGAGATGGCAATTGGTTGAGCTAACCAACTATGCTTGCCTCAGGGAGAGTTGGAACTTCATGGTGCAAGATCCTGGAGAAACAAGAAAGAATGGGATCAAAAAAAAAAAAAAGATACAAAGAGTATGATAAGACGTTCAACTAAGAGTCCACTGGTTCAGCAAAGGCTCATAAGCCAAAGACAGGACCTAAATTAATAGACATAAATATATGTCTAGGCAGAGGGCATTGTTTAGAGAAGATGGGAGAGCCAGTGTAAATATACAAAAAATCCCAACTGAAACTTTGCCCAATCCATAGAATACTATCTATGAGGAAAAAAAAAAAGTACATGTAGATTTACATGTATACTAAGATTGAACAAATAAGTATATATAGATAATGAGAGCAAGATTTCTCAATGTAGAAAAAGGAGTTATAAATAAGCAAGGGGGGAAGGCTAGAATGAACCCTGTGGTGCTGGATTAGAGTATGAAGTCATGTTTATTTTGCTACATAGAGAGATAGATACAGAAATAAACATAGATATGTATGTATACATGTGTTAGTATATATTTCTTAGCATTGTTTGCTGAGAGGACCTAGAAGCATTGGCACCTCAGTAGCAACAAGTACACCTAGCACCCAGATCTTGGTTTCTAAGTACCATTTCTCAATAAAAGAAACCAGAGCTACTT